GTTCCCTTGGCAGTGTGCATGCCTCCCCATGACGATGGGGATGCCATTGTTGCTGAGGATGAAAGCTTTCCTATGGTGGAGGAAATAATTTCCCGTAACGAGAAGGGTAGATATGACTTTTCAAAACTGCCCGAGGATGACCCTGAGGCCACGGAATCGGTGATGGACGTGGTTGCTCTTGTTAATTTCAGGGAAAAATTCAAAATTCCGGCCCACATTGATTTGGTCCCGGCTGGTCGTGACGTGGTGCAGATTCATCGCCATGGATATTGCGTATTCTACGCGTATCCGTTCTATGTGGGCTACTCATTTCCTCTTCTGCCATTGGCGGAGGAATCTTTCCGCTACTACGGCACCTGCCCGACCCAATTTTCACCTTACATCTACAAACTCATCCGCATATTGATGAAGTACGTGAAATTGGCCGGCCGCGGGATCTCTCTTTGCCACCTGATTCACCTCTTCGCTCCCAGTTTCTATAGGGGAACGATGTTGCATCTTCGTCACCGAGGAAGTAAGCGTTTGGTAGTGAAGATGGACGATAAATCAAATTTTCGGTTCTGGCTTAGCTACTTCTACGTCAAGACCGAGGACGTGGTGACAAATGCGAATGGCTTTCCTGAGGCATGGAATTATGCTCGTAAGTATTTTTTTACTAAGCATTTATTTTGCTCATTGCGATTGTAGCCTAACACTCTGCCTTTATCTCGTTCAGCTGAGACTTCGCCCCTCCTTTGGTTGCGGATATTCATGACTGGGTTAGCCAGGTCTTGCCTCACACAGTGAGGATTCACGAATGGTCGGCCTTTATCAAGAAGTTCGGAACCAAGCTTTCAGCGACCGGTGAGTTTACCTGTTTTGAATCTTTATTGTCGTGGCCTTCTGGTCGCTTGCTTCTTATTGTTTTGTGGGGATCGACCTCTTAATCTTCTTTTTCTTCTCTTTTGTTTTTAGCCCGGGGATCCTCGAGAAGGTTGAAGCCTCTACTCCTACGTTTTTCCAGATGAACACTACAACGGGGTCCTCCCCTGATGTGACTGTGGCCAAGATTGCCCATCCATCCACTTCTATTCGGCCTCCGGTTTAGCCTAGATCGGCTCGATCGTCGACGGATTCAATACCAGAGACTCCGGCCTCTCCCTTGCTTCATTTAATAGTTGAAGAGTCTTCACCGATCAAGGAGGATTTGGTCCCTCGTAAAAGGAGGTCGGTGGACGTCGGTGATGGGACAATCCGAGCCATAGATTCTACAAGGAACGAACGCAAACCGGCCTCCGTTGTGCCTGAAGACAATGCAAATTTTCCGTCCGAGGTCCTGCCATCAGCGGAAACCGCAGAGAGCATGCCCCTTCTTGATGCCAACGTTGGAACTGGTGGAGTGTCCGTGAAGGTTCTGGGTACTGTGTGGCGAGATGTGCCATCATCCTCGCGGCCCGTTGATATTCCCACCTCGTTTACCGATGAGAGAGGTAAGGGGGTTGCTGAGGATGGTTACGAGACGACCTCCGATATGGACCCTGAAGAGTTTAGGATGATGGGAGAAGGACTCACCCGGCTCGAGGTGAGATTGAAGGGAACCGCATGGACCATTATCGGGATCTGCTAGTTCATACGGAGGACATGGTCCCTTCTCTTGGTCTCCTCTGTTCCGACGTGGAGGGTAAGACCTTGAGGAACTGAAGGATTCCACATTGTCGAGGAGCATAGTCGGCCTTGCTCTTAGGGTAAGTTGGGTATTTCATTTGTATGTTCGTTCATGTTGAATCTGATTTTATTCTAACTCGCTCTGGTTTTCTTTTCAGACCGTAATTATGGAGATCGAAAGCTCCCTCCGAGAGGAGAGGCGGAAGGCCATTTTCCAAAAGATAGAGCGGAAATATCGCGAGTATCGTGATAAGCACCGCGAGCTTTGCATGCGTCTTGGTGGGAGTAGTAACTTTCGGGCTCTCCAAGATGAGCTAAAGGAGAAGGATGACGAATTAGTAAAGGTCATCGGACAATGTAGTGAGCTCGAGGGAGCATTGAGGGACAAGGAAGAGGATCTCGAGGTGAGCAGGGGAGTCGAGGCCCATTGCGCCGACCTTCAAGCCCAAGTGAGCTCGTTGCAGCCGAGCTCAAAGAAAGTCTAATCAAGGCGAATGCTCTGGGTGGTGAGCTCACCGAGAGGATAACGGACTTAGAGAAGTCGGAATCGGATTGGTTGGGGGCTTTGAGGCAAGTAGAGACATCGGAGGCCATAATTTGCATTCTTTGTTCAGATTGGGCGAGTGATTTGGAGATGGCGAGTCTCAGAGAGGAGCGACTCTATGAGCGCATAGGGGAGTTGGAGAAAGAACATTTGGGCCTTGATGAACGAGTTATCGCCCTTGAAGCCGAGAAGTCCCAGTTACTGGCTCAGCCTTCCTCTTCTCGCACTTATGCCTTTCCTGATATTCCGCGAGATCTGTATGAGATCTGGATCCACACCGAGGCCCAACGGGATATATTGAGGGACTTGATGGCGGCAGGGAAAGTTTCTGAGGCCGACTTCGAGGATGTTCGCTCTAAGGCACGCATAGTTTGGACTGTTTGTGGCTATGATCCTGCTACACCGGAGGCTGGTGATGGCGAGGAGGACACAGGCGCGGACGGGATTGAACAAGATGCCTGGTATGAGGATGAGTATTCTGAAGGCTGTGGCGATGGTACTGGCGGAGAGGCGGGTGGAGATGACCTAGGCAGTCAGATAGATGACGTTGCTAGGTTAGGTGGCAAGTAGTTATTTTTCTTTCTTTTTTCTTGTAAGTTTTGTACATATTTTTGTGGGCATCTGTTCTAGCCTTTGTAAAAAATATATTTTATGAAATACCATTTTCGCTGCTCATACCTGACTCTTTTCCTTCTGTTCGGGCTTGTATGCCTCTTTTTTTTGTTTTGCCGTTTGGTCGCTTTAGTCGTAAGAACTTGGTTTATGTGTGTTGAACGAGGTCGAAACAGAACTAAGTTTCGGTCGCGGCCGGGGGCCGGTATATGTTAATTTGAACGAGGTCGAATGTAACATATATTTAGTTAGTTTGAAACGAGGTCGAATGTAACTTAATTAATCCGAACGTGGTCGAATATAACCTATACTTACTTAATTCGAACAAGGTCGAGTGTGAGTTAATTCGAGTGAGATCGAATGTAAGTTTTATTTAATTGTGGTTGATGGCCGAGCGGGTATTGATTCGAACAAGGTCGAATGTAACCCGTACTTAGTTAATTCGAGCAAGGTCGATTGTGAGTTAATTCGAGTGAGATCAAATGTAACTTTTATTTAATTGTGGCCGAGGGCCGAGTGGGTGTTGATTCGAACAAGGTCAAATGTAATCCGTACTTAATTGTGGCCAGGGGCCGAGCGGGTGTTGATTCGAACGAGGTCGAATGTAACCCATACCTAGTTAATTCGAGCAAGGTCGATTGTGAGTTAATTCGAGTGAGATCAAATGTAACTTTTATTTAATTGTGGCCGAGGGCCGAGTGGGTGTTGATTCGAACGAGGTCGAATGTAACCCATACCTAGTTAATTCGAGCAACGTCGAATGTGAGTTAATTCAAGCAAGATCGAATGTAACTTACTTAATTATGGTCGGAGGCCGAGTGGGTGTTGATTCGAATGAGGTCGAATGTAACCCATACTTAATTATGGCCGGGGCCCGAGTAGATATTGAGGCAATTTTGCTTTGGCGATAGTATGGGCGGACTTCATACATTTGTTTTTGCTCATATACTTGGACAAATTTACATGTTTTTCGGGTTGGCATTCCAGTCCCAGTCTATCTAGTCCTTTCATTGGGCGACCTGGAGACATGTTGAGAGGTTGGGCAATTAACTGACGACCGTCCGCTGCTTTCTTCCGTTTGCATTTCAACTTGAAGCGTCCCCCTTTTTTCCTCATTAAAAACCTCCTAGAGAAAACCCAACTAGGACAAAACTCAAGTAAGGGAAAAAAGAGTACGATTTGGAGAATGCTTTTTCTTAAAATTTGAAATACTTGAGGTGTGTGATGTTCCAGTTGTTTGGTAGTATTTTTTCTTCCATTGTTTCTAATTGGAAAACCCCTTTTTTTGTTGTTGCCGTGATTTTGTATGGACCGTCTCAATTTGTTCCCAGTTTGACTTCCTGCGGGTCTTTGCTTGCTTGTGTTTTGGCTTTGAGCACGTAGTCCCCAACTTTGAGTGGTCTAATCTTGGCCTTTTTGTCATAGTAGTGTTCTTCCTATTTTTGTTGGGCGATCATCCTTATGTAGGCCATATCTTTCGGCTTCGTTGAGATCTTGCCTTCTTCTTTTATCGTTCCTCGGCCCGCTCTCGTGGGACTATCTCAAATTGGGCTCTCCGTCTTCGACTATTATTACCGCATCAGTCCCATAGACTAATGAGTAGGCCGTCTCTCATGTGCTCGTTTTCGGCGTTGTACGGTAGGCCCAATGCACTTCTGGTAATAACTCCGGCCATAGTCCTTTGGCGTCCTCAAGCCTTTTCTTCATGATGTTTAGTATTTATTTATTGGAGGATTCCTCTTGCCCGTTGCCCGCGGGGTGGTACAGTGTTGAGAGTATTCTTTTGATATGCCATTTCTCACAAAATTTGGCGACCTTTTTTTCCAGTAAATTGGGGTCCGTTGTCGCAATTGATCTCTTTAGGGAGGCCGAAGCGGCACACGATGTTTTTCCATATGAAGGCGATCACTTCCTGTTCGCGTATCTGGGCGAATGCTCCTGCTTCTACCCATTTAGAAAAATAGTCAGTTAAAATTAAAAGAAATCGTACGTTACCTCGCCCCGCAGGGAGGGGCCCGACGTTATCCATTCCCCACTTGATAAACGACCAAGGGGATGTGACCGAGTGGAGGTGCTCGCTCGCTTGCTGGATCATTGGGGAGTATTTTTGGCATTGCTCGCATTTTTTCACGAAGTTCGCGGCCTCTTTTTTCATAGTGGGCCAGTAGTAACCTGCTCGTATGAGACATTTGACTAGAGCTCAACTGCCGGAATGAGCTCCGCAGTGGCCTTCATGGACTTCTTCTAGGACGCCATACGTCCTCTTGTATAGGTCGTAATGAATGATGTTATACATGGCTGCTTGCATCCGAATCTTCTTGGCTTCCTTTTTATCATCTGGGAGTACTCCATCCTGCAAGTATGTAACAATACGGTTGCGCCAGTCCCAAGTTAGATTTATGGTCCTTACCTCGATTTGATCTATTAATGAGTGGAGGAGGGTGATCACGTTTCTTTCTCCGGTTATGCTTTTAGTGTCTGCTGCTAATTTGGCGAGGCCGTCTGCTTCGATGTTTTGTGCTCGAGGAATTCGGTCGAGCTGGTATTCGTCGAACTCGGACAGTAGTTTGCAGATCTCGGCCTGGTATTCTTGTAACCTTTGCTCTTTGATATGGAAAGTCCCTGCGACTTGGTTAATGACGAGTTAAGAGTCACATCGTAGTATGACCCGTCTCGCCCCCTACTTGAGTGCTAGACTTAATCCTGCAATCATGGACTCACACTTGGCCTCGTTATTAGTCATGTCTTGTCACTTTATGGACTGGTGAATTACTTCTCTTGTTGGGACTTCGAGTACAAGTCCCACTCCGAACCCTGACGCATTAGAAGCACCGGCGATGTACAAAATCCATAGATTTTGTGTTTGTGGAGAAGCGTGGGCCTGTTCTTTTTCGACTTCGGGCATTATTTTTGCGCTGAAGTCGATGAGGACTTGTGATTTTATCGCTGTTCACGGTTGATATGTGATATCATGCTCGCTTAATTCTATGGCCCATTTGGCTAACCTGCACGATAGCTCGGGTTTATGCAAAATACTTCTCAAAGGGAAAGTTGTGACGACTGAGATGGGGTGGCACTGGAAGTAGGGTCTAAGCTTTCGTGAAGCTAAGACCAAGGCCATGGCTATTTTTTTGAGGTGGGGGTACCTCGTCTCGGCGTCGACTAAGGTTTTGCTAATGTAATAGATGGGAGATTGTGTACCTTTATCTTCTTGGACGTGGACTGCACTCATCGCCACTTCAGATACGGCGAGGAGACACTCCCCAGGCTCCGCTTTGGAAAGCAACGGTAGTGATGACAGGTAAGCCTTTAACTCTTTCAGGGCTTGAGCGCACTCGGCGGTCCACTGGAGGCCATTTTCCTTTCTGAGTATGCCGAAAAATGTGTGGCATATGTCGGATGATTGCGAAATGAATCTTGACAGGGCGGCGATATGGCCAGTCAGCCTCTGAACCTGTTTTTTGGTGGTTAAGTGCTCTGGTATTCCTTCTATGGCTTTGATTTGGTTGGGGTTGACCTCGATACCTCGTTGTGATACTAGGAAACCCAGGAATTTTCCTGAGGTCACGTCGAATGCACACTTTTCAGGATTTCGTTTCATCTCGTATCGCCAGAGTATATCGAAGGCTTCTTTCAAGTGGCCGGTGTGATCTTATTTCCTTTTGGACTTGACCAACATATTGTCTATGTAGACTTCCATAGTCTTGCTGAGTTGATCTTTGAATATTTTGGTAACCAACCTTTGGTATGTCGCCCCTGTGTTTTTCAGTCCGAAACGTATAACTTTGTAGCAGTACGTCCCTTGATGGATGATGAAGGTGGTCTTCTCCTGATCCTCCTCTTCCATGAGGATATGATTATAGCCTGAGTAGACGTCTAAGAAGCTTAACAATTCATGCCCGGCAGTTGCGTTAATGAGCTGGTCGATATGGGGTAACGGGAATAAGTCTTCGGGGAATGCTTTATTCAAATCTATAAAGTCTATGCACTTTCGCTACTTCCCGTTTTTCTTTTTCAATATGACCACATTGGCGACCCATTGGGGGTATTTTGACTCCCCGATAGAGCCATTTTTCAGTGGATTTTTGACCTATTCGCGGACTGGATCGTTTATTGTAGTATTGAACTTTCGCCTAACCTACCTCACCGGGGGGGGGGGGGGGGGGGGGTCGAATGGTTCTATGTTCAACTTGTATATGGCGATCTCCTTCGGGATACCTGACATATCTACATGGGAAAAAGCAAACATGCGTTAGCAGTTAAGAATTGATGGAATTTACCTGGTTCTTGAAGCTTGCAACCGATGTAGGATTTCTTGTTGTGGTCGTTATCATCAAGTTGAATGGGATTGAGGTCTTCTATGGTTGATCCCGTAGCCTCTACTATTTCGGGATCTCTGATGACGTCCTCTCTTTCATCACAGCTCGACCTCGACCTTGTTAATTGCTATGCCTCTTTTGTTTTACCCTTCATTTGTTGGGTGGTCATATAATCCATGGCGATGCAGTAGCATTGTCTAGATGTGTGTTGTTCTCCTCGTATGCTGAATATTCCCCATGGGGTTAGAAATTTGATAACGTGGTACAAGCTGGAGGGGATGGCCCTCCTGGCGTGTATCCAAGGTTGGCCTATTATGGAGTTGTACACCGTATCCTGGTCCATAATGTGGAATGTGGTTTTCAGAGTGATGCCGCCAGCTAGGATGGGGAGTGTGATTTCTCTAGACGTTCGTTAAATTGCATTGTTAAAACCTGTTAGCGTGATGTAGTATCCTCGAGTTTCATTTGTGCAAGTACTCGAGGGTGGATAATGCACGCGCCGCTCCAATCGTCCACCATAATGCGTCTTACATCTGTATCTAATATTCGTAAAGTGATAACAAAGGAATCATAGTGAGGGAAAACCAAACTGTGGATATCTGACTTATCGAAGATGATACTTTCTTCGAGTTCGTCACATCGTTTGTGAGTGATCGACCATTTGAGCTTATGGGTTGGGGTGAACTTTAGGCTATTGATCAAAGTGTCGTCGCCTCCTCCAATGATCATTTGAATGGTGCAAGTCGGTGAGGGTAGTTTCTGTGGTCCCTGGTGCTGTTCACGTCCTCGGGAAAAGTTGGTCATTCCTCGATCACTCAGCAATTCTTTGAGGCATCCTTGGTAAAGCATATTTACGACTTCCTGCCTTAGGTCGATGCAATCCTCAGTTTTGTGACCTCGCTCTTGGTGGAACTCGCAGAGGGCGTTTGACTTTCTGGTGCTTGGGCCTGACCTCATCTTTTGTGGCCACTTTAATTTTGGTTCGATCTTCTCCAATGCGTAGACTTTTTCTGAGGGTGACACACAAAAATTGGGAGCGGATAATAAATGGGGCATACCTCTCTCGTTCCAGTGAGTCCCTGTCCTTGGTCTAGATGGGCCCTCTTCGTGGCGGGAGGGGGGTATGATGGCGATTTTGATATATGGTTGATGCCTTTCTCGATTGGGTTTTGGAGATGCAAGATCCCTCCTGGCATCATTTGTTCGATCCTACCTGGATTTGGCCTGCACCGAGGTCAACCGATGAGTTGGCCCATTCAGGTCAGCTTCGTCTGCACGGACCTTGGCACAGTAGGCATTGTGTATTTCATCCTAAGTTGTTGGAGGATATTTCATAAGACGACTTAATAATTTTTTGGTCGCCCTTGAGCCATTCATGTTCAGCCCGTTTTGGAAAGCTACTACAACCATACTTTCTGATCCATTCAGTAAGATTATCCGTACTCGGTTGAATCGAGCGAGGAAGTCCCTCAATCCCTCTCCGGATGATTGTTTGATGGAAAATATATTGTTCACTCTTGCCTCCGCCTTTTTGGCCCCAGCATGGACCGTTACGAATTTGTCGGCCATCTCTTCAAACGTTTCGATGGAATGTGCAGGCAGTTGTGAATACCAAGTTAATGCTCCTCCGGTGAGGGTCTCGCCGAACTTTTTCAACAAGATGGAGTATACTTGTTCTTTGGCGAGATCATTTCCTTTTACCGCAGTGACATAGTGACTCACATGATCTTCGGGGTCGGTTGTACTATCATATATTTTCAGATAAGGCGGCATCTTGAAGGTCTTGGGTATGGCATGCGGGGCGGCTTCATCACTGTAGGGTAGCTCAACGAACCGACCAGCATCTCTTTTTGGCAAGACTTTTTGGGCACTCGGTATTTTGTCGACTCTTTCTTGGTGCTCTCTCATTTGGTCCCCAAGCATTTTGTTCTCATTTTCCATTTCTTCCATCTTCCTCAGAATAGCTGTGAGGGTGTCGTCACCTGCATTATTAACATTGTGAGTGATACCTATTACTGGAGGGAGAGGGTTGTGCTGCTCGGCCGTTATCAGTGTAATGCTAGTCCTTACGTTTTCTCTAGCTGCTCCTAGGCGGGCTTGTCGAGGATGTTGGTTAGTGTGTTTGTTAGCCAAGCCTCGAGTAGTTTTTTCACTTCTGGTGGCGCCTCTTCCGTCGTGGACGTGAATGCTCCTTTACCGCAGGATGTTGTGATACTGCCGTGAGGCAGAGGCAACCCAACTCGCCTGGGGGAGGCGTTGGGCATTATATCCTCGCCTTCTGTTTCAGAAACCTCATTGATGGTGTTCAAGAGGTTGGTGGTGAGATCGGCCACCACCTTCTTCCTTTCTTCTCCATTACCTGCCATGTCAGATCCGTATGTACAAGGAAAAAGGAGTTTTGCTCTTTTTTTCCCCTGTAAACTGTGCTAGTTATAGATCTAGGAGAAACTAAAAATTTAACTAGGAAATCCCCACAGACGGCGCCAAATTATTCGACCAAAAAGTATAATCTTCGATTAAACTAATTAATTTTATGTAATGAGGGATTAAGCCTAGTTGATAATAATATCCCTGTATTTGTAACTAGCTAACACAAATAATGCAGGATAGCGTTGGTGGGGGATTAAATGCAATATGCATTTAATGTTTTAAGAGGAGTAATTATGAAAGAATATCAAGCAATAATAAACAATAAATAGCATTAACATAAATAAGGAGAATGATTCACCCAATATTGAATGAGGTAGATGATTCTTCTTTCTGACAGTGATGAGTAATAGACAAATCCTAGAATATTAGAACTATTCTCAGATCTGATAGAAAAGTCTAGAATAATGGATGGTAGAATCTTATTAGAAAGGTAGTGTTTGTATATTTTCTAGAGAGAGTCTTCTTCTCAAAAAGTTCTCTTATCCGAAAGAAATATTATATACCCTTTCCCCTTATCTCTTTTTCTATATATATGAGACACATCCCCAGTCAATCCTAAAAGTACCAGTACATAGAATATTCAGTGGAATGTTCCCTTGAATATCCAATTACAAAAACTAGCCTTTAGTACCATCCTTGATACTTGACCTTGGCCGTTATTGACCGCCCCGCTACGAGCCCTGCTTTTCACTAGTCGGCCTCGGCCACATCACTTTCCATAATACCACTCTATGCTAAATCCCATTGAGACAGATTTTGACCTATACAACAGTAAGATACAACTGTCCAGAGGCTTCTCTCCCTAGGCTTCTTTTCATTCTCTTAGCCCATCTTCACATTCACTCAACAATGGTGGTTTTCACATGGTATCAGAGCTAGAGTGAATCGATCGATGCTGAGACTCTGGTTTGAGAGTTGTTCTGTGAAATTTCTGAGAGAATTTTCAATCGATTTTTGCTTATTCTCAAATCCCCAATTTTCTGAGTAAACATGTAATGACTGCTTTAGACATTGATAATCCGCGACATCCGTTGTACTTACAACCTTCAGATGCGCCAGGAAATGTAATAATTTTAGTCTGATTAACCGGCAGTGAGAATTATTCAGTCTGGAGCTGAGCAATGAAGATCGCGTTGCGAGCTAAGCGAAAATTAGGGTTCATAACCGGTACATGCACTAAGGATCAATTCACTGATGATCTAGGCGAGGATTGGGAACATGTCAATGCTACAGTCTTAACTTGTATTATGAACACTGTGTTGCCGAAATTAGTGAATGGGATAGTCTATGCCAGTAATGCTCATGAGGTGTGGACTGATTTACAGGATCATTTTGACAAAATCAATGGATCGAGGATCTACAATCTTCATCGCAAAATTGCTACAGTTTCTCAAGGTACCTCCAGTATTTCTACTTATCATTCTAGACTTAAACTGTTGTGGGATGAGTATAGTTAATTCTAACTCTGTATGTAACTCCTGAAACAAGAGAGTTCATAACACACCTAGAACAACAAAAGCTTTTTCAGTTTTTAATGGGATTAAATGATAGCTATAGTGCCATTAGAAGTCAGATGCTACTTTCGTCCCCATCACCAAGTGTGAGTCGTGCATATGCTCTGCTAATTCATGAGGAGAGCCAAAGAAAAGTTTGTATGACCAATACACCTATGAATGAGGTGAATGATTCCACTGCCTTAATGAGTTCTAGAGATAGCACACAAAAGTTCAAAAGATATGGAAATCTTTATTGTGAGTACTATAAAATCAAAGGCCACACTAAGGATACTTGTTATAAGTTAGTGGGCTACCCACCTGGTTTCAAAGGAAAGAGGAAGCAAGAGTATCGACAA